TAATTGTCTCTGGTTGTAAAAATATTTAAAGTTATATTGACCAAAAATATAATATTTCTAAAAATATTATTCATTTATAAAATATATTTAGAACATTTCGATAATTTATGTGGTCAAGGACCAAAAAGCACAACAACACAAGCGCGTACGAAGGTAGAAGAATTGTAAGAGTATCTCGACGTAATGTTGTATCTTCGAGAACTGTAAGATTAAAAGAGACAAGTTTAAAAAATTGTGTAACCAGATGCAAACCATACATCACTGAAGTACGAAAGAAGACGTTTAAATTTCGTCAAAAAAGTATTTAAATAAGCTCCTATTATTCTGGAAACAAGTAATTTGACGAGAGTAAATTTGAATTATTAAATAAGAAGAAAAGGGCACGAGTTTGGAGAAAACCAAATTAATCCTTTGAAAAGCAGGATCAGTAATGGTATGGGCTTGTTTTTCGTAGTATGAAGTCGGAAATTTAATATTTGTAGATGGCATTATAAATGCAGATACATTGACATCCTGAATGAAAATTTAGAAGAATCAATTTTAAAAAATATTAAAAAATAATTTTAAAAAATAATTTTAAAAAATAGACAACAAAATAAAAAATATATCGCTACGAAAACAAAGACATTTTTTATGTTTTTTATAGTTTTTTATATTTTTATATTTTTTATTATTTTTAAATTTTTTATTTTTTAATTTTTTAATTTATAATTTTAGAATGGTCTCCACAAAGCCCAGACATTGATCTAATAAAAAATTCGTAGATGCAGAAATTCCTTTAGAAAAAAGAGTTCTAATAAACAAATATTTTTGGAAGAATTGCAATTGAAAATTCAAATTGACAAAAACTACTTTTACTGAAAAACTATTTATGTATGTATAAAGTATTCACTCTCAATTTTGTCCATTTTATATATGCAACTTTATATAGTTTTGTATAAATAATATAAATTATAGTCCATTCTTTTCATTAAAATTGAATTTTAATATTTTACGTTTCATATTATATTTCGTTAATTTAGATCACAAGCTCAAATTAGAATTAACTTTAATTCACTAGATCTGTCCACTATATATATAAATACACGTATAGAATAAAAATAAAATAAAAATTTTAACAAAAGTGTCCAAGTGGAAGGTAATAAACACATGGTGGTTTAATTTACACAATGATCCAATGGAAATTGATACGATGACAGAATGAAGTCTCGAGCGATTGACAGGGTGAGAAAGGGTTAGAAAAGATTGTGTGGCAATTGTTTCGAAAGGGAGCGAAGTAAGAGGCCGAATATATCATTCGTGAAACGAGGTTGGACCAGTTGTAATTGTTCCGCCCACGGAATCGGAGAATGTCAGGGACGATTGCCACGGAGGAGGGCGGGACACGATTGCATCGTGTGTGAACGTGATCTCTATTGTAGCCAGGTAATCGTCGTAAATATCACCATTTTCATATAAGCCCCGTCCAAAATTTCCTTCCCTCGCTCGCAGCTTTTCTTTAGAATTGATCAGCTTGCTCTTCGATTCGAGCTTAGATTTATCGAGGATAAATTCTATCTAAATAAAATATCTAGAAATAGTGTTCCTTTCTCTAGGATCAACTTATATTTTGAAGTGGACAATTAAGTATTGCAAATTTTGATATTGGACAATTAAAGTATTGGAAATTTTGATAAATTTTGAAAGATGTTCATTTTAAGTAAAACTCTTCCTCTGTGCAAGATATCTAAAATATATTGTTTATATATATATATATATATATATCGTTTATTGTGTCTATTTTATTAAAAAATTAGAAAAAGGATATGCGTTCGTTTCAATCGAAACAAATATTCATCCTCGATGCGCGCACCAAATAGAAAAATGGTACTCGTTCCAATCTTCAATTGGTGTTGGAAAAATGGCAGGACGAGGGGAGGGGAGAAGAAGAGTGAATTCGATTCCTTTCCATCGATGCCACGATTCCTCGTCTTTCAATGCCAGTGTCGCCAGGGGTCTACCCTTGGCGCGCGAGTTTAAGGAGACCTAGAACGCTCATTTGCAGCCGCGTTGCAATAGATTCAAGGCCTATTGAATAGGCTATATATCGACGACAACGGGACCAGGAATCTCTCCTCACGACTCATTTATCCGTAATTAAAAGACCCACGCTGATTTGATTCCCCCTATCTGAGAGAGATTCTGAGAGATTCCTAAGGCGCCGATTAATTAAGCTGCTCGAATGTGAAGGTCACCCTTTTCGATGAAAATTCCGTGTGATGGATTATCTCAGAGTGTGATTGATCGCGATATTTTACCATTTTTAAATTTCAATCCTGATTCTGACGCGTAAAGTTTGACTAGAAAATATAAGAAGAAAATAAGAAAGTATTAGCGATGAAATTAGCGTCTCTTCTTAATTTGTATTTGTGAAAATTTAAAGATTAGTTATACTTAACTCCTGTTGTGTGGCCCTCGAATTTCTTCTCATTTGACAACAAAAAGATTTCAATATCTTCAAGAGAACTTGAAAAACTGAGAAACCAAATACGCTAAAACATAAAAATGTTAAATATATTGTAAATTATTGTTATTTATTTATCGACAATTTTATCTTAAAACAATAAACAATTAACAAATACTAACTTTTATTTTTGCTTGAATTGAGCTTTGAAGAAAATTTATCTTATTCTTTTTCTTCTTCTTCTTCTTCTTTTTCTTCTTTTTGTCAATTCACAAAAATAATTATATATCTTTGTAACGTGACTTCTTCTTTACGTAATCAAAATTACAACCTATCCTTGAATCGTGGCTAGGAACGAAAGGATTATCAAGTGACATTTAAACGTATCAAGAGCTATACTTCTTAGATTGTATGGAGGAAAGGGAACGAACCTGAATGAAAGAAAAATCGACTTGAAAGTGAACAGTAGGTCAAACTAATGGTGGAGGAATCAAAGGTGAAGGTAAAGGGTGTGCTTTTCATGAGTCACGCTAGATAAGAATATTTACCACAGCCTTGTCCTGAAAGCAAAGATTTTAGATATTAAATAGATGTACCGTCGCGAAGAATACGAGTCGGATAATCGAATAATAAATAATTTACTCGTTACGTTAAAAAAATCTAATTATACATTATTTAATTAATTTTTACCAATTTTTTAAAAACTTAAGGAACTTTCCCAAGAATTCATCTAAAACTTACACTTATAAATTATAATTAAAAAATAGAATAATTAAAAATAATTAAATAAGTAAATATTTACATATTTTTGGTAAAAATGAGGAATCACTTCCAAGGAATGCTGAAAAGAAAATAGAATAGGATAGAAAGGGAAATGAATTTATTATGAATACAATACAAGATTATTAGTGTCATCGAAACGAAAAATTCATAGATCCATTGAATTTAAAATTTAATAATGAAAAAAAAAAAAAATCTGAAACAGCTTCTTATCACCAATAGAGTCGTAAACGAATAATAAAAAAAAATGCATTTTTCTTATCGCTGGAGGGGGCGATATCGATTTTATATAAAACTCAAGTCCATCGAGGAAAGCAGAAAACTATAATTTGTTACGTTACCACGCGAAATCGTTCGCGGCTGAGAGGAGGTAGTTGAAGTTCGAAACTTTACGTTTTACGATAATTGCCTTTATTAACGATTTATAAAACAGTTATTTTCCTTGGTGACCAATTTCACGATCACGATATAAATTATACATTATCGTTACATACATATGATACACATTCTCTTACAATCTAGTTGTATTAAATGTAGCGAACTCGTTGGAAAGTTGGCGTATTCACGAAAGGCGCGTGTGCTTTCGAATGAGAAGCCGAATTATTTTTGAATGAATGGACGTTGAACTATTCAATTCCCGAAAAAAAAAAAAAAAAGTTTAATTTCGACTCTTCTCGCTATTCTTTTTCTTTTTAGTTGAAAATCTAACCGTTTATAATTTTTCATATTAAAATTCTTTTTCCAGAAATTGATGATGATTCAACGTGTAATATTTTCCAATTTAATTTAAAATTCAATCACGTGGAAATAAAATATTTTAATTTTTATCTCGTTTGCAAATCTATATACACAAGATAAAAATTATTTTATCAACATGTAATAACAATTCTTTAAAAGAATTCCAAGATTAGAATTATCATAATGAAATAAATATTTATGCACATAATTTTCAATAATAATTGCACGCTTTCTTGGATATTCGACACCATATTTCCAACAAGTGAAACGTATATCTACTGTACATGAAACATTTTTTTACATTTGTAGAGGAGAATATTCTTACATTCATAAATAAGGTAAACGTAGGGAAATAAGAAATAATAATAATAATTATTATTAAAATAAAAATAGATCTCGATAGAGAATATTTACACGAACGAATGACGAGTATTTTGGTAACAGGATGACACAATTTGCGCAAATTTTCACGCGAGAAAAGTAACTCGCTAATTCCTTCCTCGTGGAAAGGATATTTCTTCGATCGGTTCAACTTTTTACAAAAATTTTTACAACTCTGCTCTGCTCTGCTCGGTTAAAATAAAATGGAATTTTGAAAAGTTTCGTCGTGTTTTTTGAAAAATAAAGATAAATGGAATCTTGAAACATTACAATATACCTTCAAAAAAGAGTAAAAAACTGTAAAATATGAAATTCTTGCTCGTATCTATCATTGACTGAAACAAACAGATTTTGAAAATTTATTACCATTTAATTGTTATTTGAAAAAAGACTTTTTCTGAATGAAACGTGGATGATTAATACAATAGATTAAACAATCCTTTTGGCCTGCTTTCCAATTTAAACCTACGTGTTAAAGAAATATCCTCGCACTGATAAAGTTAAAAGGGATTAATCTCATCGTGCAAAAAGATGCACCTCTTATAAAATTGTGTATCCCCTATGGATAACAAATGTATGGACAATAAGAAAAACTCATGGCTAGGAAGAATCCTTGTTCCCCATTGAAAGTTTCTCTCGTAAATAAGATTCTTTCTCGTTAATACAGCATGTGGGTGGATCTCGTTACACCTGTGAAACAAAATGAAAATATAGAAACAAATAGAAGAAAAATATTTTAATTAGAATAACTGTACAGATTTTATCTCTTTCAAAATGTTAATCATCGATCTCTCAAAACTCAAGTATCAAAGTAACCACAACTCCATTATTCTTTTTATCCACGAGTATAAATACTTTTGCAGACAAGTAGTAGTGCTCCATGAACGGCAAGCTTCCACAGTAGAAGAAGTCACAATCACACGATACTACCCTTCCGCTGGCCTTACGATATACCTAACTCAACGAGATCCAAAACTCGAGCCATCGAAAGCCATTGAACTCACCGTGAAGAGGGGAGGTGTTCTGCAAAGAGCTGGACAACGAGATCTCGGTTCCAGGATGTTCGTGTATCACTGTCTCGGTGATATTGTTCTCAGCTTCCGAATGCGCGCGCCGATGCTCGCGCCCCACCCCGCCGTCGTTCTTCCGCCTCTTCTCGGTCCCAAGGTTGCAGCAACGTTGCTGCTCCCTCTGCAACGTCATCTCGTGGGAGTACATCGATTCACCGTTCGAGAACGAGTTGTATCGTTGCCGCCTCCTGGTTGTTTGGGTCCCTCGCCTCCCCACCACCATACTCGTCGTCGTCGTCGTCGAGGTGTCGTGGATTCCGCGAGAGATCTCGTTTCCTCTTTCGCGCCGCTGCAGGGACTTCAGAGAGTCCTCGTAGCCGCTGTGAAGAGGCAGGTAGATTCGAGTAGAGTAGTTGAAAAAGAAAGAGGAAGAAAGAGAGAGAGAGAGAGAGAGACGTAAAGACATCTCGTGGAATGGATTCCCGAACAGCTGGCTGCGGATGATGATGACTGGATGGAACGTTTGGAACGTTCTTTTCGTTCTCTCTTTGTTACTTGATCAAGCGTGAAATTAAAATTTCTGAGATAAGGCGGTAAGTGGAAAAGCTGAGACCGTGATTTTTGTTACGCGGTTTAGTTCGGCGTTTATTGTCTGCAATATTTCTGTATGTGGAAGATGTGTATACATGTATGTGTGTGTGTGTGTGTGTGTGTTTGAGAAAAGGTTGAAGAATTGTTCGATGGGTTAATCGATTATGGGTTTTTATAGAAGGTGCTTTTTAGAAGGTGCTTTTGAGTAAGAAAAAGGCGACGATTGGTGGATTAATAGAGATTACATATACATGTACAGTTAATATCGTTTTTCTTTTTTTGTAATTATTGCGATATAGAAAGCTGGATGGACGTGTTGTAGAAGCTTGAAGATATTATGTATGCACGATAGATAGAAGTGTAGAATAGAAGAAGCTAAGGAATTATTTAATTAATTGCTTCGCAAGCACTGTTTCGAAAGATCAAGGATGATCAATGCGATGATCGATGAAATTATGCGTATACCTTTGAATATAAATATAAAAATTTGGAAGCAGAAAAATAATATCCAAAATCCGCCGAACGTCACTATGATTCGTTCATTCATTCATTCTCAACACGATCAAAAATCCTCTTTAAGAAACATTTAGAAAAATCTAATCTCTCACAACAATATTATCATTTCAACTTCTTCCCAATCAGGACAATTGAGTCTTGACCACAAAAAGTGACGTCCAACGAAAAGAGTTAAAAGCGTCAAATTGAATCACTCCCCCCTCCCCTCCTCGACTCGAAAACCTCGTCCACGATCCCTTTTTTATACTTATCCGTTCCACATCTGAGCAGATCGATCGATCCCTCTCCTTCCCTCCCCTCTCATCCCCAACCCCCTACCACCCCCTCGGCCGAACTCTCTTTTCAATTTAGATAGCACGAATAGCTCCGTAAGTAATTCGACTTACTTGCTGCTCTCGCCGCTTGAGGGGCTGGACGAGTGACTGCAGTGGCAGGAGGCGCGCGCCACGATCCCAGAATCCTGACCGCTGGAATGCAAGGACGTCGCGGATGCCTCCAGGCCTTTCGGGGTCCCCGTCGTCCTCCCGGCGTGCTTACTACAACCGCCCATCCTGCAACCACCACCACCACCTCTGCCACTCTAGCATCGACATCTAGCGGCGAAAGATATGGGAATTCCCTGATACAGTATTCCCCCCTCCCCTGACCTTGCACCCCTCCCCCTTCCCCCCTCGACCGACCGGTATCATCATAATAAATGCACCAATGCATTTTTATCTCGTGCCCCCTCTGGTTTTTTCTTCTTCTTCTTTTTCATCCACGCGAGATGGCGTTGTTTCGTTTGAGCAGATTCGAAGGAGGGAGGAGAGGGGAGAGGGAGGCAGGGTGCGTGGTTTCGAGCAGGTTCGCTGCTAATGGATTGAAAACGGAGCTGCGAGGAAATCGGTCGAGCTTCTGGTGGAATCGCGGTTGTTGCCATATTGGATATTTGGTATTGGTTGTTTTGCCAGCCGAGAATGGATAGGATTGGAGAATGGGCCGGTTTGTGAGGGATTCGAGTGGTGATAAAGTGAATATGTCCTGGGTAGGGGGGAATGATTGCGTGTGTGTATGTATCTGTGTGTGTGTGTGTGTGTGTGTGTGTGTGTGTGTGCGTTATTTAATTTTCGAGAAGAAAAAAGGATTTTGCCGCGATTCGAGTTTTTGAGTTAAATTTTTATCGTAGAGTCCAATGAGAATATTAATTTCATTCACGAATTATATTTCAATTACACGCATTTCGTGTTCAATCATTCGAGCATTGTGTAAATATTAAATATACATCGTGTATATATCAAGATTTTTCTAAATTGTTTACTTTAGAGAATTGTGGAATTGTGGAAATTTGTATTTATTTTAAAGTCCGACCATAAACGGGCCGGTACTACTTACCGATATACCATCATCGCGGTGAAGCCAATATCAACGGTTACTTTTCAGAAACCGCAAAACCATATTTCCTGTCTGTATGTATTTCATATCTGTTTATTCGCAGGAAAAAAAAGAAAATTTTCTTCGTTGATTCTGAAATAAACTCTTCTTCATACTCTTTTCATCTCTACTTGATACCGCGTGATACGAATATTATATTCAGGGATATAAAATTCAAAACTGAAAATTTTCGAAACGTTGAACGCGAAACCGCGGAAGATCTAAACAGGTCGTGCAGAACCGCAAGCGATTCTGCTCAGTTGCGCTCAAATGATTTAATACGGTTTACAACGAAGTCCTGGTGGACTCTCAACGACGAGGATAAAGGCTGATCTACATCGACGATCAATATAACGACACATATAATATAATATAATATAATATAAAAGCACGTATTCTAAATTAATTTGTGAATAAATATCGCGTCTTAGTTTAAAGATGTAGTTTAAAAATTTCTGTTTTGAAAGTCAAATGCACTATCTAATCATCGATGGAGTCCACCGAGTGTAAATCCGTCTTAAATAGCGAATCGAATAGACTTACGCGTGGAAACGGGCGCAATTAGATCCGTGCTCGCAGATGCTGTGCCGTCTCGGTATGTCGGCGCAGAACGGTTCAGGGTCGTAGTGAAGGCCGTCGACAAAGGTCGGGAACAATGGCGGCTTCTGGAGAGTCGCGGATGGATCTGCCAAAGCGAAACCAATCGGGCTGGTGGTCGAGAACATCGCTTTCTCCCGACGTCTGCGACTAAACCGATAAAATTTAAGTAATCACGGTTTAGAGCGAATTGGCATTTGATTGGCCTGGTATTCGATAGAAGTGGAAAGGGACCGATGGACGTGTTCTCGCTGGAAACTTAATTTTGTTTAATCCAACTTTTCTCACGAGAAGAATTCCCAAACGGAATTGCTTCGAACGATATATATTATTTACACGTGTTATTAAAGAAACGTTTCCAAAATTTTGACGCGATAAAAATGATCGTTTAATTGTTTGTAGTTGAAAAATTCTATGCACTAAATGCGTCTAATATTCTCCTTACCGTTTACTTCTGCGAACGCACGTGATACAAAGGGCGGTGACGAGGGCGCCCACAAAGATGACACAGCCGAGCATCACCACAGCCACTTCCAAAGTGGATAGCAGGTAACGTTGATTACCCTGACGAGGAGAGCTTCCGGCAATGTCCAGAACATCGTACTCGTCCAACTCCCGCTTGATTTCCGTTTTCTTTGTGTTGAACACGCTGGAACAACGCGGATAATTAACTGCACGATGTTGCTCGATGACTATTTTGATTATCATTTTTTTCATTAAACGATTATCACGCGTTTATCACAATGATTATAAAGTTGGACTTAATATAAATAAAATAAAGGATTACTTACTTGTGCAACGTGTCCATGTCTATCATAACGTTTAAATGGGGATCGATTGCGTAAAGATAAACGTCGGTACTGCGAAACAGGAAATGTAATAAAAAATATAGAATAGGAGGAATTTTAATTTTTCTTCATCGAAGATATTTTTTTTAAAAATGTTATTTGTCACCACTTACGACGTCGTGTCGATCAAATTTTTTTCAATGTGTGGCTCTAGCTTCCTCACTCGAACGTCGAAACCCGTCACGTTGTGCAATACTCTGAAATTGAATTAAAATTCTTACACGAGAAGGAATAAAGATATATGTAAATAAACGCTTATATTCCAATGGTCTTAATTTGTAAAGAACGTTCAGATATTTATCTCTTTTAATTTGAAAATTGACCTGAATATTTAAGATTGAAAATATTCGGAACAGAAATGAATGAACTCACGCGGTGATATTCTCCAGTTGCGGCTCGAGATCTATGGGCCTTCGACCAACCACCATCACCACCTGTTTCTGATCATCCAGGATGTACACCTTTCGACAAACATCACAAGATAAATAAATAATTGAATAAAGTTTGACAATTTTTAATCGATCAACTTTTGATTCAATTAGCTAAAATATTTATTAACCATAAGTATGATTTTATTTTGAATAATTGAAATTGCAAGAGTTTTTTTTTTTTTTGGATGAGGAATCAAAGAAGGAAAAGTTACAAAAACGTTGGCGATGCTGCTGCGACCGTTCTCAGCGCCTCTTCTGTCGGTGGCCTTGACGTCGAACCCGAAAACGCGCCCAGCATCACGGCCAAAACTCGCCACAGATCGTACTTGACCGCTCAGTGGGTCAATGGCGAATCGTGGCGCGTCCTCCCGCCCGAGAATTTGATACCGGATCTCGGCGTTTGCTCCCTCGTCCGGGTCTTCCGCCTGATTGTAACGATTAGTCGGTTTATTCAATTAATTGACTCTCTTTCTTTTCTATCTTGTTTACGATCAATGAATTTTTTTTTAAAAAGAAGAAGAATTCTGAAAAGTACAGATGCTGCTCGGAATTTTAAAAATTCTATCTCTAAAAGTTTTATAATTTATTTCATACGATTAGTCGGTTTCGATTATGCCTCTCTCTCTTTGCTATCTCGTTTATAATCAATGAATTTTTAAATCAATTTTAAATCAAAGAAGAAGAAATTTGAAAAGTACAGATGCTCGGAATTTTAAAAATTCTATCTCTAAAAGTTTTATAATTTATTTCATACGATTAATCGGTTTCGATTATGCCTCTCTTTCTTTTCTATCTCATTTACGATCAATGAATTTTTTTTTAAAAAGAAGAAGAATTCTGAAAAGTACAGATGCTGCTCGGAATTCTAAAAATTCTATCTCTAAAAGTTTATAATTTGTTTCATATGATTAGTCAATTTATTCGATTATGTCTCTCTCTCTCTCTCTTTCTCTTTTCGTTATCTCGTTTACGATCAATGAATTTTTTTTTAAATTAAAGAAGAAGAATTCTGAAAAGTACAGATGCTGCTCGGAATTCTAAAAATTCTATCTCTAAAAGTTTATAATTTGTTTCATATGATTAGTCAATTTATTCGATTATGTCTTTCTCTCTCTCTTTCTCTTTTCGCTATCTCATTTACGATCAATGAATTTTTTTTTAAAAAGAAGAAGAATTCTGAAAAGTACAGATGCTGCTCGGAATTTTAAAAATTCTAACTCTAAAAGTTTTATAATTTATTTCATACGATTAGTCGATTTCGATTATGCCTCTCTTTCTTTTCTATCTCATTTACGACCAATGAATTTTTTTTTAAAAAGAAGAAGAATTCTGAAAAGTACAGATGCTGCTCGGAATTTTAAAAATTCTATCTCTAAAAGTTTATAATTTGTTTCATATGATTAGTCAATTTATTCGATTATGTCTCTTTCTCTCTCTCTCTTTCTCTTTTCGCTATCTCGTTTACGATCAATGAATTTTTCTTTTTTTAAATCAAAGAAAAAGAAATCTAAAAAGTACAGATGCTGCTCGGAATTCTAAAAATTCTATCTCTAAAAGTTTCGTAACTTGTTTCATAATAAATTAGAAAAAAAAAAATTCAGAGATATAAGCAGAATTATAAATAAAATTTAAAGTGTAACAAAAATTGTGCAATTCAAATCTTCTAAATAAAGTCACATTTAAAGATTCATACTCCCCTGCTCAATTCTCTACTCGATCCATTCCCATATCTTCCGCAAAAAGCATCTCATTACCATACAAAACACGCATCTTCCCCCTCCCCTTTCCAAGAAACGCGATACGATTGGCAACGAACTTGAGAAAGGAAATAAATATTCCATTGGAGACGAGTCTCGAAAAAATAAGGTTTTAAAAACGAACCTCCACTTTGACGACCTCGTACCCGTAATGGGCGGTGGTCGGTATGGCGGCAAGGATGGGTCGGCCCTTCGACTTGAATCTGGGCGCGTTGTCGTTCACGTCCTTCACCCTGACCACGACTCTGGCCTCGTTAGGTGCCAAACCGTTCAGCCTTTCGCCGACCACCGGGTAAATCATGACCGGCATCCCTCTTCCGATCTTCACCCTGTCCACCCTCACCTTAGCCTCGTATCGATCGTTCACCTCCCGATCCACGCCCGTCATCAGATACAACGAGCCGTTCCTAGGATCGACGGAGAAGAATTGCCTCGCCTTCGTCTCATCCGCCACGATGCTGTACCGTATATGCTCGTCCTGTATGTGTCCACTGTCGGCCAACTCCAACCGGGCGACCAACACGGGCACCTCCACGTTCTCCTCGACCTCCACCTCGTAGTAACGGTGTTTGAACGAAGGCGCCTTCTCCGTCTCCGTCCCTTCCTCGTCGTCCTCGTTCGACACGGCGACGATCACCGCCGCCGTTGACGTGAGGCTGACAGGAGACCCTAGATCGCTAGCGGTTACCAGTAATCTGTGGCTTCTTTGCCTCTCGTAGTCCAGATTACCGATAACCGTGATCACACCTTCCTTGCTGTCGATGGCGAACCACTGTTTCTCAATCTTGCCAAGATGATTCAGGTCGAACAGGATCAGACCGTTCCCATTCCCGGCAAAGTCAGAGTCGTTGGCGGACACTTTGATCACTTGGCTGCCTATAGGACTGTTCTCGAGGATGGAGGCATGGTAGACAGGAAGGGGATCGCCGTTTTCGTCCTTCTCGATCTCGTCGTAATCGTGGAACACCGGTGGATTGTCGTTTACATCCAACACGTTCACCTCCACCTCGACGGTGGAGCTCAATCTCGGGACACCGTTGTCTCGAGCCGTGACGAGGAGGCGGTGAACAGGTACGGTTTCCCTGTCGAGAATACCCGTCACTCTGATTATCCCCTCCCTAGGGCCGATCTCGAAGATCCTGGACACGTTTCCAAGGCTGGTCGAATTTTCCTTCGTCGTCAACTCGTAAGTGACGTTCGCGTTCGCTCCGTGATCCGCGTCTATTGCTCGAACGGTGCCCAACGTGTATCCGGCGTAGGTGCCCTCGGCTACGTCGAACGTGTACCAGGATTTGTCGAAGCTAGGGGGATGATCGTTCACGTCGACCACGTGGATCCGGATGGTAATATTGTCCAACAATCCCCCGGGATCTTTGGCCAGGGCTAGGAAACGCAGGTTGGTTTCGGCGGTGAGCCCCCTGGCCACCGATATCTCGGCCGACCTTGGATCCAGATGGAAGTATCTACGATTGGTGGCCTCGAGTCGTGATTCAACGTCGTCACCGGAAACCGTCTCGTTCCCCAGGCTGTACGTTATCGCCGCGTTTGTTCCCTCGTCCTTGTCCTCGGCGAGGAGCCGTATTATCGGCGCCCCGATCGTCGCGTTTTCCGGAACGAGAAGAAGGGGCGAACGACGGGCGCTCGATGCTTGATTTCCTGTCCCAGTGTCGTCCGTATCGGGCACGTCGTTCCCTTCGAACGACGCCTCGGTATCGGCCTCGTTCGAGACGCGAACACCCTGCTCCGGGAGCACGATCATACGGATAAAAACGGGAGAATTGTCGTTCACGTCGGTCACCGTTATCCTCAGACTCGCTTCGGAGGTTAGACCGCCTGTAAAAATCGCCCGATGACGAGCGAGTTTTATTCAAGCGGAATATTTGTACAAGGGGGAAATTATATTGTAAATTGAACCGTGCATTTATTATTTCTGTTTGCTTGTTGCGAAAATAAAAAGCTACATGTAATTTGAAATCTTTAGATAGTCGAAAATATAAGAGAAATCGAGCCATTGAAATTACTTTTCGATTCGTCTTGATATGAGCATTCAAAGTTTTCACAGCGGAGAAGAGATTAGGAATGGGAAGAAATTTCCTGTCGTTTGTTTGAAATTTGAGAGAGGCGATGAACTTAAACGCGAGTGAGAAAATAATAGAGATAATACGTGAAGAGAAAATTACTCCTCCCTTTACAGGACGATATCTCTGGAACCGAAAGTCGTATTGAGATAAATCAAAGGGCGTTTTAAAGTGCAATGATTCCCGTTTCTAATGATTTTTCACCCATTGACCTAGGATTATTATCTTCGAAGTTATAACGATTTAAAGTTTTCCTAATTTTAATCGAATTTCTAAGGTATGTTAGCGATAACTCGTGCAAAGTCCGGGTGTGCGACAAGGACGGAAATAGTAAACGATTAAAAATTATTCTTTTCTTTATACGGGGATATCTCGGGAACCGGAAGTCGTATCGAGATAAATGAAAAGGCGTTTTAAAGAGCAAGGATCCCCATTTCCAACGACCTTTCACCCATTAACCTAGGATTATTATCTTCGAAGTTATAGCGATTTAATATTTTCCTAATTTTAATCGAATTTCTAAGGTATGTTAGCGATAACTCGTGCAAAGTCCGGGTATGCGACAAGGACGGAAATAGTAAACGATTAAAAATTATTCTTTTCTTTATACGGGGATATCTCGGGAACCGGAAGTCGTATCGAGATAAATGAAAAGGCGTTTTAAAGAGCAAGGATCCCCATTTCCAACGACCTTTCACCCATTGACCTAGAATTATTATCTTCGAAGTTATAGCGATTTAAAGTTTTCCTAATTTTAATCGAATTTCTAAGGTATGTTAGCGATAACTCGTGCAAAGTCCGGGTGTGCGACAAGGACGGAAATAGTAAACGATTAAAAATTATTCTTTTCTTTATATGGGTATATCTCGTGAACCGAAAGTCGTATCGACATAAATGAAAAGACGTTTTAAAGAGTAAGGATCCCCGTTTCTAATGATTTTTCACCCATTAATCTAGGATTATTATTTTCGAAGTTATAGTGGTTTAAAGTTCTTTTAATTTTAATTGAATTTCTAAGGTATATTAACGATAATTTAGAAATGCGCGAGAAGGACGGAGATGATTAAAAATTACTCTTTCCTTCATATGACTATATCTCGAAAACCGGAAATGGTATCAAGATAAATCAAAAAGCATTTTAAAGGGTAAGCTTTTATGCTTCCAGTGATCACTCATTGACTAAGAATCTATCGATCTATAAATTATCTATCGAATTATAGCGATTAATATTTTTTCTTAATTTTATATTTATATACTACAAGTCACATAGTGAACACTTTACACTTGCATCTCATATACTTGTATACTAATGTAATTATTTCCAGCAAACATCAAAGCTTAACCTCTTTTTGCTCTCGCGTTAAAAACATGGTTGTACTTGCTGTTTGGACAAACTCAATTTCTTCGAAAAAAGAAATCGCTATCAACGAAAAAGATGTCTTACCATTGTCTTTAGCAACGATGGTGAAACTATAGTTTGCTCTCGCCTCTCTGTCCAATGTACGATCATCGATTCCTTCGAAGTACACTAAACCCGTGGTTGGATGGATTCTAAAAAACTCGCTTCCCTCGCCGTGAAGAGTGAAGACAAAGTTCTGATTGATACCCTCGTCTTTGTCGGTAGCCGTAATGGGAGTCGATAAGTTCACTTTCGTTCCGGGTGGACTGTTCTCCATGATTCGCCCTTCGTATAACGGGGACGTGAATTCTGGCGCATGATCGTTTTCGTCAAGAACGATCACGCTTACCTAAGGTGAAATTTATCGAACACTTTAATAAAGATTCTTTCCATCGAAAAAAAATTGGTGAATTTGTTAAATTCTTTTCAAATTCAAAATAGAATAATAGATAAACTTTTATTCAAATGTGTTTGTCGAAATTTCCGAATAAGATCGCATTTAATGGGATTTTTGTCGAAAATATTTTCGAAAATGAAAATGTTTGTGATTCACATCTTCGAGAAAGGAATTCTATCCTTGAAATAAAAGTGACTTTAATTCATTGTGTTGGAATAATTGTTCGAATTTAAATATTCGTGCAATATCGCATTAAGTGTTAAGTATGTATAAATGTTAACGAACTAGGTCTCGTAAATAAGTGTTTTAAATATTACTTAACACGAGTGTCGTGTTAAATATTTCGAATACACGCGAGCACGGTTGTGAAAGTTGAATTTATGCGCGCGGCGAAAGATCCTTGAACCGGGCGCAGAAACGCGGTCTTCGTTCGAATTTTTAAATTAAAAAATTTTTGAACATCATTCCTCACATCCTTGGAACTTCTATTAACTTCTACGACCGAATATTCTAAAAGTTGAATATTCTAAAAGTTGAATATTCTAAAAGTTAAATATTCTAAAAGTTAAATATTCTAAAAGTTAATCATATTGCAGCTCGAGGACGACATTCTCAACACCTGTCGACGACTGCATAAAAATCGATCAATTTTTGACAGTGTCTTCAAGTGTGAGATGAAATGAAAATGAAATTTTTCCTGTCAATCCCTCGTATCGTATAATTATACTGAAACCCTAATAAATGATATGATTAGAATAATTTTTCATAGTTTTTTTGTTACTTTTCGAAATACTTCAAGTTCAAAATTCTTTCTCGTGGCATTTCAACAAATATTTCAATGAAATGTACAATTTTTAAACTCGCACATTTATTAAAATATATTTAGAAAGAGAAGAAATCTCAAAAGTAATTGATTATTTATAACTTTACCTATACTATTATTATATATTTTCTATCTATATATTTTTAAAATCTAATAAGAAGTGAAAAAATTCCAAGTCAATCATAGAATTGATTCCAAAACATTGTACAACTTTTAAAGTCGCACATTTATCAAAATATATTTAGAAAGAAATCTCAATAGTAATAGATTACTTATACCTTTGCCTATACTATTAAAATACCATACCATAAAATACTATTAAAAGTAACATCCAAGAATTGAATAATCATTTCATAGCCATACAAAAATACATATTTTTGTAAGAAATGAAAAAATTCCAAGTAAATTGAATCTAAAATAAATTTTTGTACAATTTTTAGGCACGCACATTTATCAAAATATTTTTAAAAAAAGAGAAGAAATTTCAAAAGTAATAGATTACTTATACTTTTGCCTATACTATTAAAATAACAACTTAAAGTAACATCCAAAAATTTATAATCATTTCATAGTCATACAAAAATATATATGTTTTATAAGAAATGAAAAATTTCCAAATAAATTGAATCCAAAATAAATTTTTGTACAATTTTTAGGCACGCACATTTATCAAAATATTTTTAAAAAAAGAGAAGAAATTTCAAAATAAATTATTTATACTTTTGTCTATTATTAAAAGAAATAAAGGAAATTAGAAGAAGTTAAAATTAGAGAAATAAAAGAATTATTATTACAGGAATATACAAAGTACATGCATCATCCAAGAATTGATAATCATTTTTTATCCACATAAATATACTATATATTTTTAATACATCTTTTTAATAAAAAGTGATAAAATTCTAAGTGAAGTGAATCCAAAAGAAATTGTATAACTTTTAAGCTTGTACATTTATTAAAATATTTTTAAAAAAAGAGAAGAAATCTCAAAAGTAATAGATTACTTATATTTTTGCCTATACTATTAAAATAACTCAAAGTAACATCCAAAAATTGACAATCATTTCTTAGCCATACAAAAATACATATTTTTGTAAGAAATGAAAAACTTCTAAGTAAATTGAATCCAAAATAAATTTTTTAAAAAAGTAATCAAAATATTTTAAAAAAAAGAGAAGAAATCTCAAAAATAATAGATTACTTATACTTTTGCCTATATTATTAAAATATCAAAGTAATATTCGAGAATTGACAATCATTTCATAGCCATACAAAAATACATATTTTTGTAAGAAACGAAAAAATTCCAAGTAAATCGAATCCAAAACAAATTGTACAACTTTTAAACTCGCAAATTTATCAAAATATTTAAAAAAAAAAGAGAAGAAATCTCAAAAATAATAGATTACTTATATCTTTACCTGTACTAATTAGAAGAAATTAGAAGAAGTTAGAATTAGAGAATTAAAAAAATTGATAATCATTTTTTATCAATATAAAAAATACATATTTTTAGAACGTCTTTCTAATAAAAAAAAAATTCCACATCTCTTAATAGAAACTTTCGACCAAAACACTTTTCTCTACCTTTTTTCACACTCTCCATCCTCAAGAAACCTCCCCGACAAAAGTGGCATCGACATCCCTTCCAATACAATCACCCTTGACCACTACAAGCATCCACCAAAACTTGGAAACTTGGAACCTGCTGATAAATTAATTACCACCACAAAATGATAGAAGAAGGACTCACTTGGAAAACGCCGACGCCTCGCGGGCTCTCCGCAATCACGGTGATGCTGTAATTCTGCCTGGTCTCACGATCGAGGCCCTTGGGCGCGTACAGGGCGCCATCCTCCGTGATCGAGATGTCGGGCACATCCTGCTGATTGACGATAAAGAAGCGAGTGGCTGGCGTGGCCGAGCCAGTTCCATTCTGCGGAAGTATTTGGCCGATGTACGCGCCAGCCATGTTCTCTCTCGCGTGGAACACCAGTGGGGCGGTGGTCGTTCCCCTGCAATCAACGGACGTCGACTTTTCGACGAGCAAACAAACGGAATTTCGCCGGGTCGGCGACTCTCTGACCTTTCGAGATCGAATCGACGTCTCACGAAGACAGACGTTTTAATATTGCCAACCTTTCTCATCTAGCAAGAAGAGTCAACGAGAACGTGTCGAGTATCGGCATTCTACTATTCTCACTTTACGAAATTTATATTTAGATTCGAAGAATTTGATATGTAATTATTTCGAACGAACACGTGAATAACACATTACCTGGTGAATATGCCTCGGTCGTCATTAGGATCGACCACGTGGATGGACACGTTGGTGATCAGCATCAGGTCCCGTTCGTCGGTAACTATTGCCTCGAAATCGTAGATCGATCGGTCGAATCTTTCGATTTCCTCGACCACCGTGATCGTACCCGAGCGTTCCTCCACCGCGAACGGCACTGAAATTCGATGTATGCAGCATGTGTCGCGTATTACAGGTTCTGGATGGCCCGTTACACCGAGCTTATTGAATCGTTAGACCATCACCGGTTCGGTAATGAGAATTTTATTATCGCTTTCGAGGTGATCTAAACGAAGTTTAGAGCCAACAATTTGACGTTGAAATATTGGAAATATATTCGGATTCCAATTTTTTTTTTCGAGGGGAATTTAATTTTCTCGCGAGCAAGGTAAACGAGAAAGGAAAAAGATCGATTTCTGAGAACTAAAAGAGATGATATCGTTGCTTTCGCAGTGCAGTGTTTCGATCGAATTAAAAAATTTTCCAAGACGGAATCATTCCAGAGCTGTTAACAACCTGTTGCTGGATTAATCGTATTACGTACCACCTTCCTCGTAGCTGTGCAAGAGGTCGTAGATCAGGTCGTTGGTCTTCACGGCGTCGTTCAAGCGTATTTGGCCGACGCTGGTTCCGACCGGCACGTTGGCACCCACCCAAAATTCGTAAGGGGCGCCCACGAAATCCGGCTCCAACGACTCCGGCCCTGCGACGAAAGGGAGAAAGAGAATTCGTGAGAAAGGAGTCGAAAGGAACGATCGAAGGGAATCGGCGCCGATCGTTTAGACCGCGATAAAAATATCGTTCCACGGCGCGTGGAACGCCTCTTTCGAGTGAAAATATTTTAGGATTTTCTTTGTCCCGACGTATGTAACGCGTTCGTGGAACGTATCTCCTCGCGATACGAGCAGAATATTTCCCACGGTTGACGAAACGCGTTTTATGGATCTTCGTGACTGGTGTAGAAAGTGGAAGAGAGGAGGAGGAGACCGCGGAAAACGTTCACAGAAACGCGTATCGATTTATTATAGAATTTTTACATTAAATTTTGCAAAAAAATTGTGAAGAAATTATAAAATTAAAATAGACTTCGAATTAAAAAATATTTACGAATATCTATATGTACATTGTTTTGGACAAAATTAAGTGGACAATTAAAGCTTTCGTATTGGAAACTTTAAGAAATTTGTGTTCAGTTACGAAATCTAATTGTCTCTGATTGCAAAAATAATTAAAGTTGTATTGGCCAAAAATATAATGTTTCCAAGAGTTTATAAAATTTATAAAAAATATTTAGAACATGATGTGTTGATAATTTACAGAACACAAATATATACGAAGATAGAAGAATTGTAAAAGTATCTTGACGTAATGTTGATGATCTTCAAGAACTGTAAAACGAAAGTTAACAGAAACAGGTTTAAAGAATTATGTAGCAAACTATACATCACTGAAGTACAAAAGAAGAAACGTTAAATTTCATCAAAAAGTATATAAATAAACCACCATCATTCTGGAAATAATTTGGAGTGATGAGAGTAAATTTGAATTATTAAATAAGAAGAAAAGGGCACAAGTTTGGAAAAACTAAATGAATCCTTAAAAAATCAGAATCATAATGGTATGGGCTTGTTTTTCATGATATGGAGTCGGAAATTTAGTATCCATAGATGGCATTATGAATGCAGATAAATACATTGATATCCTGAATGAAAATTTAAAAGAATCAATTTTAAAAATGGACAACAAGATCACGATAACACAAAACATATCGCAAGGAAACTGCAAAATAGACATTGATCTAATAGAAAATTCTAGATCTAAGCAGAAATTCCTTTAGAAAAAAGAGTACTAATAAACAAATATTTTTGGAAGAATTGCAATTGAAAATTCAACACATTGTCAAAAACCAAATAACTAATTACTGAGTCTTTATGAATGTATAAAGTCCACTCAATTATGTCCAACATTATTTAGTTTCGTATACAAACGATACAAAATTATAGTCCATTCTTTTCATCGTAATTGAATTTTAATCCCTCGATTAACTTAATTTTAAATTAAGTCTGGACTTTGTGGAGGCCTCCTCGTATAAACGATACAAAATTATAGTCCATTCTTTTCATCATGATTGAATTTTAATCCCTCGATTAACTTAATCTTAAATTAAGTCCGGACTTTGTGGAGGCCATTCCATTCTATTTTTCTAGTTTCCTTGCGATATGTTTTGTGTTATCGTGATCTTGTTGTCCATTTTTAAAATTGATTCTTTTAAATTAATTTTTACCAGACAAAAAAACTTACCATCCGATCTGAAGACATCCACGGTGACCACAGCGAGGGAGAGCCTCCTCTCGCTGGGGTTGGCCGGTTGATCGGCAGCCTCGACGAAGATGGCGTGCCTCCCCTCGAGAATCGGGCTCTCGGACACCGCGATCGTGCCCGTGGCCTCGTCCACCGTGAACGGAGGCGTCCTCGAGCTCGAATTGCCCGGCTTCTGCAGCCTGTACCTGACCATCCCGTTCGGGCCCAGGTCGTCGTCGACCGCGTGCACCTGGCCGAGCACGGTGCCCACCTTCGAGTCGCTCCTCGCGACCAACTCGTACAGATTTCCAGGTACGAAGATCGGGTTGTTGTCGTTGGCGTCGAGCAACGTCACGTCGACGTCCACCGAGGAAGAGGAAGAGGAGGAGCCGTTTCGAGGGACCACGACGCTCGGCCTTCTCTCGACGGCGACCACCCTCATTCTCAACCGATCTCGCCTCTCCCTGTCGAGAACCGACTGGTCCCTCACGGTCAACCAGCCGGATCTCGCGTCCACCGAGAACGCGCCCGACGGGTCCACCAGCTCGTAGTCGAACTGCCCGTTCTCCCCCTGATCCCTGTCGCGGGCCATCACCTGGAGCACGCTGAACCCGTTCGGCAGATTCTCCACTATGCTGATGTTGTACAGGTCCACCTCGAACTCGGGCAGGTTGTCGTTCAGATCGAGGACCTCGATCTCTACTCTAGCCACGCCCGATCTAAGGGGGTTGTCCACTTGGGAGGCGTGGATTTGCAGGGTGAACGTGTTCGAGGGCAAGTTTCGCTCAGCGTCCAGGTCGATGGCACGTTTCAGGTACAGGGTGCCGTTTACAGGGTCTAGCTGGAAGAAACCTCGCTCGTTGCCCGAGGTGATGTCGTAGCGGACGGGCGTGTCGATGTCGCGGTCGCTGTCGGTCGCTTGGATCGGCGTGGAGAAGTTGATTCGGGCGAAGATCGGGTGTTCCTGTTCGAAAGGAGAGTTTAGAAAATCCCTCGAAGCGATTTGAGAATTGTTATTGAGGGGGAGGATTGAAAATTGAGAAGTTCGAATCGAGGGAAGAGAAAAGTTGTGTAGGCGGATTTAATTTAATTTAAACGTTATTTAAGATAAAAATTGGCGAACTTTAGAGATTTGAAATTACTCGAAATTACACGGCGAGCGAATAGCTAAGACTCGCTCGAGCGGAACAGAATTTGAGCAATGTTGCTTGCTTTCAAAGCAGTGTTGCGAATTTCATTTAAGGAAGATGATCGAAAGCTCGGTCTTCTTAACACGATTAAAATCCATCCAAGATTATAATATAGTTTCGTTGGATATTTCGTCGATATGATGATCTTAATTTTCATAAATCAAAACAATATCGATCGATTTCAACGATCCTCGAGCTCTTCGACGCGTCATCCGATTCAACCAATTTAATCACCTCTCCAACGCGTGATTCTCCAACAACCTCTCACCCAGCCCACATTAGAAACCCTCCACAAACTCTCGAACTCAATTATACTCGTGAGCCACTTGGACTCGCAATCGGCTCAATATCCCTAGCAAAATCCATACAAGCACCTTCCTCGTCGATCATTTCGTCTTGAAAGAAAAAACACGAACGTTTATTTCGAGTGTCGAAAAATACATACATACACGCGATATCGTGCGAATCGAGGATGAAAGTCAATCTGCCAAGCGTTACTCTCGAGTTAAAATGGAATAAATCTCGTGGAACGAGTCGCATTGGTGGAAAGTCGAACACGAGTAGCGATAAATATCGCGTCGTGCCTCACCGCAACGTTCCTTGTTTCTTTCTCTCCTGCAAAGAAATTTACACCTCAAGGTTTCCAACAAAGTATCGACCCCCGACATTCTCCACGTAATGTGGAACAGCTCAGATTATTAAGAGGTTCGCGTGAACAACAGAAACGGAGAAACAATTTTTTTTTTCCCTCAATTGCTGGATCCATAATGGAATCCATGGAATAACGACGATGGCTGAGATAATGGAATTAAAACGAAGGGAGATAAACTTTAACAATGATTGATTGGTGATTGATAGCATAATAACGTTTTTTTTTCTTTTTAGAAAAGAGTAAAAGGAATTCGGATAGAAAAAAAAAAAAAGAAAAAAAGGAAAAACGAATGTCGTGGAAGCTACGGCTCGATGGTTACGTAGAAAGTTCCCCGTTCTCTTGTTCCGTGATTCTTCTTCCATTGACGATCGTTCAAAGTCGCGGTTTGACGCGGTCATTGCCGGCGGATATACGCATTTTGTCTGAAGCCAACTTCACACTTTTCTCGCTGGAAAGAAAGTAGCTGAAAATACACGCGTGAACGTGAATTTTTCTCTCGAATGAAAAGAACAACATACGGGACGACATTTTGATTGAATTTCGACGAATCCAAATCCAATTCTTTTTAAAGAAAAAAATCTCGACGAAATATTTCAAGGCCATCCCTATGCGTAAAAATCCACTAATAATTACGAGAGGATGTCCACGCCGCGTGTATATGAAATTTTTTGAGAGGATAGCGGAGAAAGTCAACGTTTCAAAGAGTCGTTAATCTTTCCACAGACTTCCTCCTTTATCCAAATGCGTTTATCCGCTTTAACGAGAAAACAGAAGAGTTTTTTTTCCTTTCCTTATCATATTTCATTATTACACGCGTAACACACGATGTGTAAATACGCGAAAGGATTGCTTTTAACTTCATTGGATACAGGATGCATGGATCAGGCTCGAGGTACTTACGTACAATTCTTTCACGATTGTGCAATCGATTAATCTTCGCAAGATGTTTAATTATAAACCGTTCAATTACGCACCGTGATATTTTCCATCGAGGAATTATATACGCTTGCACTTCATAATTTCCATTCTGGTGCAATTAACCGATCATCGAATAATTTTTCCCAATTCTTGGTAAATTTTTTCCCTCTTTTTGTAAATCTTTCGCGATCGATAATTTGTTCGATCGCTATGTTAAGAATTTACGTTATTGAAAAAAAAAAAAAAAGAAAGGAAAAGATTAATCGTTAAATAATGAACAAGCTTCGAATGCTATAAAAATTGAATCATACGTTGCGCGTAAAGATACGCCGTTCACATTTTCATTTTCATATGGGATTAATAATGATTAATAATTGCTTGCAAAATGATCGCGTATAAAAAAATAAAACCACCGGCCACTCACCGGCATCGGATAGAACTCGTAAATCTTCGCTTTGTACACGTCTCTGGTGAATTTTGGATCAAGATCATCGTTATCCAATATCGTTATCTTCACCGTTGTGTTGGTGGTCCTGGCCGGCGCTCCACGATCCTGAAACACGTCAAGTGGAGACTCTCATTGTGATAGAAATTATCTCAATAATATCGATCTACATATATATCAAATCTTCATAATGATAATACTTATTCGACTTAAGATTAGATTCCTAATCCTGACCCAAGTTTGATGACTGACATTTTGCTGTGTAATAATAGCGATTGATAACGTTCTAGGGATAACCAAACAGATCCGGTGCACATTTCTTCAAATTTTTATTATTGAATCGATGTTCAGATCCTCATTTGTCTGTGCATATAAATATATTTCAAGGTAAGAAAATGTAATAATAATTAGATAGCGATTGATAACATTCTAGGGATAACTAAACAAATCCGGTGCACATTTCTTCAAATTTTTATCATACCATCATCGACTCGATGTTTAGACCCTCATTTCTTTTTACATATAAATATATTTCAAGGTAAGAAAATGTAATAATAATTAGATAGCGATTGATAACATTCTAGGGATAACTAAACAGATCCGGTGCACATTTCTTCAAATTTTTATACCAAAATGTTATACCATCATCGAATCGATGTTCAGACCCTCATTTCTCTCTGCATATAAATACATTTCAAGATAAAACAATATAATAATTATATTAGAAAAAATGTAATAATAATTAGATAACGATTGATAACATTCTAGGGATAACCAAACAGATCCGGTGCACATTTCTTCAAATTTTTATTATTGAATCGATGTTCAGATCCTCATTTGTCTGTGCATATAAATATATTTCAAGATAAAAAAATATAATAATAATTAGATAGCGATTGAAAACATTCTAGGGATAACCAAACAGATTTAATGCACATTTCTTCAAATTTTTATCATACCATCATCGAATCGATGTTCAGACCCTCATTTCTCTCTGCATATAAATACATTTCAAGATAAAACAATGTAATAATTATATTAGAAAAAATGTAATAATAATTAGATAGCGATTGATAACATTCTAGGGATAACTAAACAAATCCGGTGCACATTTCTTCAAATTTTTATCATACCATCATCAAATCGATGTTCAGACTCTCATTTCTCTTTACATATAAATATATTTCAAGGTAAGAAAATATAATAATAATTAGATAGCGATTGATAACATTCTAGGGATAACTAAACAAATCCGGTGCACATTTCTTCAAATTTTTATCATACTATCATCAAATCGATGTTCAGACTCTCATTTCTCTTTACATATAAATATATTTCAAGATAAGAAAATATAATAATAATTAAATAGCAATAAGGTACAAAAAATGTAATAATTAGATAGTATCCCATTGAATTTGAAGCAAGAGCAAATGATAGACAATTTATCTTGTGAATAAATGCGGAGAAAGAGTCATCGTGTTTGCTTACCGTGGCCGCGATGACCAACGTGAACTCGCGGTCGCCGTTGTCGTAGTCCACCGGTTTACGGAGTATGAGAGCGGTTCTGTGGCCGGATTCGAGTGAAAATTTGCCTTCCTCGTTGCCTTTCACTATCGCATAATGCACGTCGCTGTTCGGCGTGTTCGGTTTGTCTCCGTCCACTGCATGGATCCCGCGAAATATCGTCACGCCTGTCAAGTTGTTGTTCGACACACCATAAATTCATAATTTTTGCATTATGATTAATTACGATTTCTTAAAAAAGTTATATTTAAACGATTCACTTGTTAAACTTTTATCATCAAACGATTCGAACTTTTATATCTTTTGATTTTTCGCTTGTTAAAAATGAAAATCACTGTGTGTTCCTATTTATATTATTGTCACGAAAATATTGTAATTTTTTATCTTTCCAGAAGATTAAATTTCTGCCTCCCGGAAGTAGAAAGGTTCAGTATATATATATATCTCACCGACTGGAGTAAGCTCGTCCACGGTTACGTGATAAGGCGCATCGACAAATTGCGGGGCATGATCGTTTATGTCCTCCACGTAGACCGTCACTGACAGGTGCGACGTAACCTACGAGCAAAAACGTTAAAATGTGTCGGTGTTGTCGGAGCGCAACAGCTTCGAGGATCTAATATTACACGGCATTCCTCCATGCACTCGGTGCTTATACTTTTCATACTCGATTCAAGATAGGAACGAATCAATTATCGCAGCTCGCCACAAAGAAGGAATTTATATGCGTTGTGTTCAATCTCTGGGTGAGATATTAAGATATTGGACGAGCGTGTTCGTTTCGAAACGAGATTTATTTATATCTGTAAAATGTGATGTTATAGAAATCTGAGTGGGATGGTGTCTTTTCAAGGATAGATCAAAAATATTGTTCTTACTTGATGAATTCAATTTATTATTATTCGCCTCTTTCTTAAATGTATCTTTAATAAATTTATTCTAAAAATCATTTTCATCCTTCGCGATATAATAAATCTTCGATTACTTCTTGTAACGATACGAGCTTTTATTTCTCAAAAGAAAAGAAGTAGACAGAAGTTGGAATAAATTTCAGAGAGGAGACAACAATGATTGACACGAGAAACCGTTGTTTTTACGGTATCGTTTGCATAATCGATCGATCCTAACATCTCTCCTTTTCCACCGTCTCCTCAATTCCATTTAATATCATCGGTCATGCGGAGACGCGTAACAGTATTACTTGAGATTTATTCGTTGAGATTGCATTAACGCATGAAAACGTCCCATCCGATCGACCGATTAAAAAAGGGAAGAAAGAGGGGGGATCAAACAACGGTACTGCGTACGTACGTTTCCTCCAGTTTTATTGCATACTTGTGCAAAACGTTGAGCTGGAAGCTCGCCTCTACGATGCTAACGGATTAATTTCGAAAGCGCTTAAGAGAGGATGAAACATACGGTTTTTTAGGAGTTGCGAAACACGAGGTTTTTCGAGCGTTGATTAAAAAGCTAAATGGAAATATACGCGCGCTGCGGAAGTTTACCTTCACGGCTTTTTTTTTTTTTTTCGTTCACTGTTAATTCGAAATTAATGCCACGAATGTGAATATATAGGTGATCGATGCATTTACTTTTTACAGATCTCGCGGAGATTGCCCATTTTATAAATTCTCTCTGCGCTGATAAAATATTCTAACTGACTTTTTTTTTCCTTTTTCGACTCTTGGATTCTTTGTGAGAATGTTTTACGAGGAGAGAGAGATTGCATCGTTTCAACATTGGTAATTTTTTTATATGCGAAAAATTTAATCGTTTCAAGCACAGTAATATTGAGATTTGTCCTTGAAGTGAGAAACGTAGTATCGTAATGAAATTATTGATCGTTTTTTTTTTTTTTTTTAATTTTAATGAACTGACAAATGAATAACAAATGAAGGAAGATAATCTCAAAGTATTTATTATTGTTAATTTGAAAAGATATTTTAAAGAATCAGAATGGAATATTAAAATTAGCAAACCAGTTGTAATAACTGTACAAACGATTGTACAGTTATTTGCAAATAAGCAATCTATAAACTGTCCCATTAAAAACTAGTCATTATACAGAATTTTAATTACTTACTAAAATAACGCAGCAAAACAAGTATTTACTGGATATGATAAAAAAAAAAAAGTTACATAAGTAACATTTCTGAAATAATTGTTCCTCAACAAAATCAATTTATTACATCTTTCTAAATAGAAACATTCTTTTCACTTTATTACATCATTAATGAATTAAGAAAATTGTACAAGAAGAAAAGTATATATCTATATATTTATTTCCAGCTAATACCACTTACAAAGTGTGATTAGATAAATATGAAAGTATTATATATATATATATGCTTTCCATTAGAAGAATATCCACAGAGTAATATAATTTTGTTCATAAAATTCTATATATAAAAACTGAAAGTGTAAAATTGGCAATTTCATTGTCTATCCTTTGCGAACAAATCTAAACAGTAAATAATACAAAGAATTTCTTCGAAAAGAAACATGATGGAATTATTCGAGCAAATATAAAAAAAAAAAAGAAAAGAAAAAAAAAGGAAAATTGAAATCTTGCAGTTAGATGAAAATTGTAATCAATATCGTAACGGTTTCTTCTATTCGCGGATCTCCAACGAAATAATTGCATAAACGTTTATTGGCACACGATAGAAATACAAAACCGGTGGCAAGGATTCGTTCGTCCTATCGAAACCGGTGTCTGCACGCTCTAGTTACTCTTGCATGCGCATGCAAGTTATGAAGAGGAACTAGACCTCTGGGACAAAATAAGAAAATATCTCTAGGGACATTAAAGATAACTAGAAGAATGGAACGTATCAGATGATTTACTTCAAAATCCACTTGTTTGAAATTTCTGATAATTATAATTTATTCTCGAGAAGAGAACAAACATCTATCTATTGAACAATTTTATATATTTAAAATCGTTTATTTTTAAACTCTCCTGTTTATCCCTCGAACGTTCAATTTTAATCTAAATTCTATAGTTTCTTTATCGAAATACAAAAGTTAAAACTAAATGATCTAACTCTTGTAGATTATTATCCACGATTAAATCATTCCATAATATCATTCTAATATTTAATTTTTTGAAAAAAGACTGTCTTATTCGATTATCTCTCTAATATTAATTTATCCTTTATTCTTTTAAATTTTCTTGTTAAAAAATTTTACAACAATTCATTCAGGTCAGAGGAATATAACATAATATAATAATATATAAATACCAATTAAATTTTATCTTCTGCGTGATTAAATTTTCTCGTAAGATCTCCTTTTGCTGTAAGTAAACTGCCGTTTTCGTTTGTTTATCAAAATTGCACGTGTACCTCTTTATTGCGATCTTGATGATCTCATTTTATTATAATCGTCAATTTCCTGGATCAAAATTAAAATTAAAGCTTGGTCAGAATAATTTAGAATTAATCTCGTGGATCGTAACGAGGAGGCTCAAGGAACCGTGAAAAAGAAATTAAACGATCGATTACTTTCTATTAATTTACCAGAGAATCGCCGCCATCTGAATAATCGCAGACCACGCGGAACTTGAGCAGATTTCTAGGCACCTCCGTGTCAACCAGGTCCTCGAGGGACTGAGCCAGCATCAGAGAGACGTGCGTCTTGTTTGTCTCCTTGTAGGCGAAGAAACGGGCGTCTTCATCCTGCAACAATTAACGAATGATTAAATACCCGTCCCAAAAATCCGCCATCTTTTCATTCGTGACTGGAACTGTGGCAACGTCTCTTTGCGTTTTTTACGCTTCTGAGGTGGACATTGACAAAGAGGCAGTTGATGTTTCATTTGCTTATTTATTTGTAATGGATACACGCGTCTATTCTTATGCAAGTGAGATGCATGGAAAGAGGGACAAGTTGACATTTTGATAGGGATATTAAGTGTATAATTGTGCGCAAGATATTTCTCCAGGATTCATTCTTTGATGAATTATTGAATATTGAACGTTTCTTTTGAAACGGCTGACAACATTTCTCTGAATGCAAAAAGCATAAATATGAAGAAAACGACGTTTAATGTAACGAAACGAAAAAATATGGCGGTCGAATTTAATTTAAATTAACTTTGATTTAATAAAATTCAATTAATTATTAATTATTACAAATAATTTTATACAGAATAATTTATCGCCGAATATATCTGAATTCTTGAAAGAAATTGCAAATTATTATGCAATGTAAAGCTAAAGAAGAAAAATTATACTATTTGTGATTCATTTGGATTTATTAATTACAATATAAAGACTTAGAAAAAATATTATACAAATACTTACTTTGTCCACTGGCATTATTGAGATATGACTTCTCGGATAAGCTTCCAACGATAAGATCTCTGTGCCTCTTGGAAGATTTTCCGGCACCCTGACGAATTTCAAGTACTCCCCTATTGGAAAGAACTGGCATCCTACGAACACGTACGAAAAGAGCTACGAATAAATTATTTTAAGAACACACAAATGATCTTGAATCAAGATTTGGAAATTAATACCATCTTCTTCATTTATGACTCAACAAAATTCTAATCAGAGATATGATAATACGACTTTCATTGTGTTTCGAAAAATACGAAGAGTAATTAGAAATCGGTTCAGAGATCGCAATTTTAAATGCAACTAGAAAGCAAAAATAACAAAGGAAATAAAAAATTTAGAAAATTTAATGTAAATTATAAAATAATTAATTATAAAATATATTATTACCTTTTTAAGTCTTTATTAATATCTCAAATTATGAAATATTTTATATATGATAAGCATTACGTTTCTTAACCCAAATTGATAACAACATACGTACAGATAGAGAAATATTGAGGTATCCGTTTCCACGGCTCAAAACTAGATACTAGAGACTTAATCGAATACTTTCTAGCAATAATTCCCCAATCGTACTTTCCCATTTCCTACGAGTTTTACTTTTTCCTCGTCCATCCGTTACCATTTTTTCCCTTTTCTCCCATGCGAGAAACCAGATTTTCGCATCGACATCGACACATTGCTACAGTTTTTACTCGCTCGCTATTTAATAATAACAGCTAATAACAGCTTCTGTATCTCAAACAACTTGGGCGAAATATAGGGTCCACTTGTGAGTGAAAGGATTGTCGATGGAATTTACACGTTCGGTACGATTAATTTGGGTGTGAAACATTATCGTGATTCGAAGCTCAGAGACCGTGGCGGAGACAGGTTCGACCCGTTTACACCTCTACGTTACCAGACACCGTTTCTCTCGTTCTTTTTTTTAAAAATATAATCGTACGAGTGGAAAGATAATTTCGTGCAAGATAATTCGAATAATACTTTCAAAACGTTGTTTTCAAATTTACATTCCAAGCGAATTTTTATCGATACTTAGATTGTTTCAAGCTGGATCTTACTTTTTATTTTTGGAATAATTAAAAATCGAAAGCGAAATGAGTTAAAGGTAAAACGAATGACGATAAAAATTAATGTAAGAAAACATTGAGAATTCTGTAACATTTAAGGGAAGAATAATTTTCTTGTATAATTTACAGCATTCGATTATCTATGCAAGTAATAATTGATTACTTAATGCTTAAGACTGGAAGCACGCGATGCATATTAAGCGTGTAGCGAGAAAGTAATTAGTCGAATGTTTACCAATATACTTATAATGTTAATAAGTTTGCGCGAGTCGAGGCAATGAAAACTTGTATTGCCAATTATATATATATCCTGTGCTATAAAGTTTTATTCTGTTTTAAATAAATACAAATAGAAATATTGATGAGCGATTCCTTAAAACTTTTTTTCAATAATCTTAAAGACAAAATGATATTTGATGATATTTCATACTTGATTCTGCTTTTCTACATTTATTCTACTACATTTATTCTACTACATCTATAAAAAGATCTATAAGATCTATAAAAATAATTTAATAATTTCAGAAAAAATATTAATCATTATCAATTTCTTCTCGAACAATACATTTTCACATACATAAAAAATAAATATAAAATTTCTGAACATTGTCCAAAAAAAATTCCTGGTCGTTTTCTAATTAAATTTAATTGATTAATTCTTGGAACAGCATCAACTTTAATTCCTAAAGATGGAACACAGTTCATGAATCCTATTCATTATTCGAGTTTCAAAAAAATATTTTCATACACCTAATTAAAAATTCACCTACATCGAATTTGATCGATAAATAAAAAAATTTCGAACAAAAATATTACATTCTTATCGACATTTAACAAAAATCTCACAAACCGAACCAAAGCAAATGTCGTACCATTACGAGAAAACGATACACCAACGCAACCGTTCGACTGTTTCCCTCTGTTTTGTACCTTTCTACATTCTACAATATCATCAGAGTTACGAAACTGGTCTTTTGACACGCGTTACCGAGCGTTTCTTACGAACCGGCGCGTGCGGAAAATGGTTGGCGAGTGAACGAGCACCGGGCAGAACGAGTTCGAGATACTTTTCCACCCTTCGATAAAAAAGAAAAACTCGTCTAAACGATTCGATAACACGAATTTTTTTATCGTGTTCCTTTTATCGGAGGATAGAGGCGATGTAACAACTCGTTTGGTCTCGCCGTCGAACAGGAAGCGTTCGAAAGGTCGTCGTAGAAACTCATCCAGTGCAGTGGCCATCTTTGCTGATTTTGCAACCTGGCCGTTTTAAACTCTTGGAAGAACGTCTTGAGAAGATCGAGAAGCGCCATAGGCGTTTCTTTTGCAACTTCTTCTTAGTGTGATGCTGGATGAGGAACAATTGTACAATTTCCTTTTTGTTTTTTAAAAGAGTACGAAGAGATCGATGCTATTTTTCTTTAATTCTTCCCCCTTTTTTTTTGTGAACAAGTTTATATTATTTTCATATCATTTTTCGAAAAAGGAATTTGGTCTTATGAAATATTATGAGTTGGAAACATGGAAAATGATTTGTAAAAAATTTTGTTGAACAAATTCTTATTAAGTTTGAACGATAATCTTCTAGTTCAATCTAATATCTTTTTGCAAATATTATGAAAAAATTTCAATTCGAGCTTCTATACACGACTTTGAAATAATAACAGCAGTTCAAAATAATAATACTCGGAGAATTAATTTATATAAGAACGAAACAATTACCTAAAAAAAGAGACGTGTATTACGTTCTTAAATCTTAATATACAACTGTATTCTTTAAAAACGTTAAAAATAAAAATAGAATAGAATAACGAGCTATTATTACGCGTGAAATATTCAAATATTTTGAAAGATCGAAAAATGTGGTAATTGTACTAATCAGATTAATGACATTCTATATTTCCTTATAGTTTCATTGTCTAACATTGTTCCAGTTTTCAAGGATGATAACAACTGTTCCGTAACGATTATGCAAATTATTATTTCATCGATTGAATGCAAATCAATTACGAAGTGTGAAATATGTATGAACACAGCATGGTAAGTAAGTAAGGTGGAAAGAAAACGAGTAAAAAAAAAACTCGACTCGTCTCCCTCGAAGAAGAAGGCCAAGTTCTTCTCCGCAAAAATTCCAATCTAACGTAAATCTCAATAGAAAAAAAATCAAGTGTTTTTTTGAAAAAACCACGATAATCCTTTAACATACCTTTTCTCAACTTCTTTCACAAAATCTCAAAAGTTAAATTACACGCAAGATTTCACTCCTCCTCGTTGCAAATACCAGACGACGATTTCGTTTAAAACGGTTTAAATACTTTGTATATTCGAGAATAAGAGTCCAGCTCGAGTAATTAGCTCGTTCCCAAGCTGGTCGCCGGCGTGAAACATTGTTTCCGACCGAGAAAGGGAGGGAGAAGATCGGAATGGACGATACACGGCGAAGACGGAGAGGAAGTTCGCGTCCCACCGTGCCAGATCTTATCTCAATTTATTCAGGGCTGCGATCATCGCGTCGATCTACGGAACGTTGTCCGGCAATTTCACCGTTTTTCAACCCAACGTTAACTGAGAACACGTTACACGAACCTTGTTGCACGGAAATAAATTCTATATAATTGCACCTAGAAACCTCTTATTATTCGGCGATATAAGATATATTTTTGTCACTGATAATGGGAAAAGGCATTCGAACAGCTTCATACAGAGGAGAATTTATCATCGTTAAATCGTAATCATATTGTAGTTTTTTACGGGGTTGGAATTTCGTGTTGGGATCGAAAAATTGATAAAAAGATTCTACCTAGATTGCTCTGTCTGTCTGGAGGCATAGAAAACGGTTTCCTGAAAACTGTTAACTTTATTATTATTAACATCGAGCAAACGAACATCATCTTTATTAAATAATTCGACACGTGTGCACGTAGGCGCTCGAGGCAAGGAGTCGGTTTCTCCGCGTTTCTGAAAGCTTAGCAGCTGTCCCCCTCCAGTAAAAAGTACTTTCACCCGATCGAACGCACGATTCGAAGCCGATAATACGTTGGACACGCGTCAATATCCTTTTTCAAGTTCTTCCACTCCCGATTATCGATCGTAGCCAAAATCTCTTAACGAATTCTATTACAACTTGATTCTTGTCTTACTCGACCCCTTAAAAAGAGAAACGAATGTTTTAAGAAGGCGAGTTTTAAATTCGAAAATCAAGTTGAGATTAAAGTATGCACATTCGACTCCTTTCGAATTTTACAAATTCGAAAAATTCCGAGTGAGAAAAATTTTTATCATTTCCACCAAGAAAACATCCATCCCTTTAAGTAACTCGTTTCTGAAAAGCCGCATCAATCGACGAGGATCGAATTGCATTTGTTAGCGGAAGGGAATCGCCGCTCGATTCTTTTCATCGATCATCCGGATAAAGTTCCGGACGGCGCATAATCCGCCGGAAATTCCGCCCCGTGAAATCACTTGGAGGCGCGCTCTCGAGGATCTTAAATAGACAGAGGAGGCTGTGTCAAAGAAATCCTTCGCAAATTCTTCCCTTTTTCGCGCCACGTTTTTGTCTCTCTCTCTCTCTCTCTCTCTTTTTCTCCCTGTCTCTTTTTTGTCTGCCACGATTCGAGGAAAATTACTTTTCAGAAGAAACGTCACACGAATTCTTGCCCCTCTTGGATGTGACAATGGGTGCACGGCACGTGTTTTTCAGAGATCCTTCAAGGAATACGGTTTTAAATAAAAATTACTTATACAGTTCGATCTAAAATTCTCAAATCGAGGAATAATGGGAATATAATTCCAACGAAATGGAATTTTCTGTATCTATATAAAAACGGTTTAAAATTATTATCATTGATCGTGAAGAATATATATATATATCGCGATAATAAATATCGAAAACGCGTCAATTATCCGGGACAAAACAATATTCTCGAATATGGAGGACAATTTAAATTTAGTATTGGCACAAATAAATATATATATAAAGTAACGACTGAAAGACAACTTATCACGATTTATTTTAAACCTATTTTATATCGATACTCGAAACGAGGTTACCTAAGAGGTGATACATCTCCAACGACAACAATATTTGTAAGAAATCCGATCTATTAGATTAATTAAAAAACCTTTCGAAAAAATAGTATCAAATCTTTCCAACGATCCACAATTAATTTATCCATCTCGACTTATCCTTAGATGCTTCCTAAACGACATATTTCACGAATCTCTCCAAAAACGAATCGATGAATAATTAATAAAAAAAAAAAAAAAAACGGAGGAGGTTATTTAAATTTTAATTGCTTAATTGATTAAATTGCTTCCATAATAATTTCAAACAATTCCAACAGCGTCGAAACACAGTTCAAGCGGCTGCTGCAATTCCTGAAACTGATGGTACGAACGAAACGATTGCATAACGGGTGCAACCCCGGCGGATGCGTCGTACGCCATTTGCACACAGGCGAAGCTTGGTTTCGGCCGGAAGTGGGACAAGGTCGGTCGGCTTTTTGCTTCTCCATCGTACATCACCGGCCGCGAGAGCCTTCGAGACGCTGTTTCTTCCTTCGAGGGCTGGCCATCGCCCTCGTTTCGATTATTATCCCCGATCGAGATAGAATGGGGGTGGAAAAAACGCGCGGTTCGAGGATTATGGCTGAGGATGGACGAGGATGGGGGTGGTTTTTGTCCCGATTGGGTGGTGTTGTTCCACCGTTTTGCGAGAATAGAGTGTATATATATATATGATATACTTTTTTGCAGGGGAGATGTATCATTTGGGATAAGATGGATAGGAGAGTGAAGAAGAGAGGAAGTTTTGTTATTTAACCACTAACTAGTTGAAAAAAATGTATACGGCTGTTGGTCTACTTAAGGAATGAGCGTGATAAATGATTACAGCGTTCTAATAGCATTCTTATTTTCTAAAACGTTTTTGTGAGAACGCTTATGGGAGATTTATAATTTCAAATGATCGTTTAAAATCGTTGTGTCAAGAAATATTTTATTGAAAAGTATTATCATACGAACGTTTTTCATCTTTAAATCGTAGATCCTTGAAGTTAAAACGCGAGATATCTCGTTTTTCCAGATGTTTATTATAAATTAATTGTAATTTTTATCGAAATACAACGATTATCCATAAATAACGTATTTTATCCTATCATTCGTAGCTCCTTGATCTTTGCAATGTGCGTGAATCATCGTTGTAAGAATATGCATAACACGTGGTTTGAGGTCAAGGAATAAAAACGATTATAAGAATTATTTAGTGTATCATTACATATATTTATTATAATTCGATTATCAATTTCTAATAATCGAAATTGATCTAAATTTCTATAATTTATTATATAAGAATCAAATTCAATATTATCAAATATTCAGGATATTCGTATGATCAATATCATTGATGATCAATTGATTTAATTGAAAAAAATGGATTAATAATTTCATCAATTAAATATAAAATTTTTAATGATGGAAAACAAATAATTGAAAGAACGATAATTGGAATAATTGTTCAAATAATTTAATAATTTCTAAAACTTAAGTGAAAATTAATTTCGAATCGTACTTTAGGTTAGTCGAGATTAGGCTTTTCACAAACGATTAGCCTCCAATTTTCCAAAGATGGATCCCTAATGAAGTGTATCAACATTCAAGTAGTTCTATCGGCTACATTAAATCCCTTCGAGAACGTCCCCATTAATCTGGGAATGAAAAAGGACAGGAGTTAGCTGAAATTCCAGAGCCAAAAACGGAACTAAACAATCGTTTGTGAACAACAGCCTCGACACATTATTTTGTAGCTTCTCAAAAGAGAAATGAGATAGATTTTTTTTTTTTAATTTAGATTTCTAACAATGTTGAAATTGTTGCGACGATACCTCGTTTCGTATGAATTATAAAAATTATTATTTCAAAGAAAAGGAAAAATACATCGAAAAAGAATTTTTTTTTATATCGAAAAAGAATTATATTTGTAAATCACAATTTTGCAAGGATACGAATAAAAATTGAAAGAAATTTAGAGTAATAAAATGTTTATCTATGAAATTGTATTATATATTCAAAATTTCACGAAATACGTTCCCTTTATTACTTGGGAATATGTGTTTTTTTGAGAGAGAATTTGAATTTCTTTTTCTTTTTTTTTTTTGGACATTGTACGAGCACGACCTTAGTATATGGAGATATGAATACGCCGTGAAAATAATTAAAAGCAGCGAGGTGAAGAGCAAGAAGAAACGAACACACTAAGAAAGTAGGAAACTTTTACTTTTGGAGAGCTGTCAAAGAGATTACTTCCAAAGGCCAGAGAAGGAAATAATGTATCAAACAAAAGTATGTCTCACTGAATTTCGAATCAAAACTTAGATGAGATGACATTGAAGCCATCGTTATTATCAGAAAAATGAACAAGAGGGTGGGGGGAGGGGGAAGAGGGGGAGAAAAAAATATGGCACAATGTTAAGAATTGTTTGATCAAACTTTGCCATGGCCACAATCCTCCTCGAAATAATTATTAAAAAATTATTTCTGCAACGAAATCCTTCGTGATATTACACGTTTCGTGATCGATGAAACAAAGAATTAACAAAGAATTACGAGAAATGGAGGGAAGGAAATGGGAAAGATTATTTTAAATATGAAATATCGATCCCTTTAAAATTTAAAATCATTCCATTTATAATACCTTAAACTTATATAAACGAGGCTTATTAAATTTCTTTCCTTCATTTTACAAGTATAGTAATTAATTGTTAGGAAATGAAAGCGAACTACTGAATTATAAACACGTCTATTTATACTTTAAAATTAATATGAATACATTGCGTAACAAGCATTTGCACACAGATATATAATATCCAAATATTAATCCTATTCCTTCATTAATATTAATCTAATTCAGATTTTAAATTAAACTCGGGTAGGCTAGCTCAAGTATCGATTTAATTAACGCACTCGACACAGGCATAGGCGAAGGTTCATTAACGAGCAACAAATTGCACTTTGAATACGAACCTCGATCTCACGATCTGAAATCGTAACGATGGGAATCAACGGTTTATCTTCTCTCTTTATCTCGAGTGTCACACGCAATACTAGGTCAGAAAATAATAATAATAATAATTATAATAATATCTAGGCCAAAGCTATCGTCGTAGCTCTTTGAATAATCTGCGAGTAATTGAATATTGAATGACCTTCGATGACCAACCATTCAATTCGAATTAAATTCTATATCTATTTACTTTTAATAAATGAATGCATTTCGAAAAAATTCGAAGGATTTTTACTTTGAATTCAAGTACTAGCAAACTTTTATTTTCTATATTTATATATTATATTTCAAATATTCGAAATACGATCAAGTATCGACACAAATTAATCGATCATAATTATAATTTAATTCAATTATTCAGAGATTATTTGTTTTCTAAAGGAAGGAAAAAAATTGTTTCTTAAAGAGAGAGAGAGGGAATCACGTGATAAAAGTTTGTGATCTTTGAGGAAACCTGGCGGTGGCGAGCAAGAGTGTCGATAAAATCCGATGATCGAGAAGTAAATTATGTTGGAATGGTGAAAATCTGTGTGTCGAAGAGAACAATACGAGTTTTATTTCACACGCTGTTACAGTCACATCGATACAGTCCTTAAAAGCATTTGAAATAGCTATCGTGAAATAAAATTTGATTCAATATCTTGTATTGATTAATTATCTTTCACGATACTACTTTCTCGATTCTACTTTAATAAAATGGTTTCTGGAATTTCTACATTTTCTCTTAATTCTTTAACTCGTTCGAACATTCTTTCAATTCCCCTATACTTATAAATAAAACTACTTATACTTATAAATATAATACTTATAAATAAAACTTATGAAAAACTTAAAAACTAGCAAGCTGTTAATAAAACGTTGAACGTACCTGTAGCAAAATGAAGGCGACCAAACAGCACGAAGAACGTCGCCAAAGCAGACCAAAGAACCAACGTTTGCCTTGACTCCCTCATGTTCGATCCACTTCTTCTTCTTCTTCTTCTTCTTCTTCTTCTTCACCACGATTACAGTTTATCCTCGTACATCTCTGTAAATTATTCACGATGAATCGTCAATAGATGTGCACTTTTGAACGCATCGTGACTCCGCATCTTATAACTCGAAAGGCAGGTTGCAATTCAAGAATCTTCGCATCTTTTGTTCTGAAGAGTGGAATTGGGTGGAGGAAAGAAGTAGCAAGAATTGTATTCGCATTTGTTTCTCTAAATTATTAAGTCTGGCGCAGATGAATGACATTGGTGGCATTTCGTAAAATGATTGATCGATTCATTCACCGTTGAATGCAACATTGGAAGATAATGATGTTGTACTTTTTGCAATGGAAACAAAAAAAATAGTAATACGTTAATCAGAGCGATGAAGTTACCAATTATTTCGAGGAATAATAATGAAACAGGGTGTTAGTTTGGTAAAAAAAAAATCGAATATGTGGATTTAAATAATGGTTTGAACTTTATACTATGCCTTAAACATTTATATGGATATTCTGAAAGGTAAAAGGAGAATTTACGCGCAAAAATATCGATCAAGGCTTACTTTCCATAAATCCAGAAGCGAGATAAAAATCGATACAAATAGAATGCAACGATGCGAGTGAAAAAGATTTTAAAATGTTTATAATTTAACAAATATTTTTTCTATACCAACTTTCTCTCCAAGATTAAAATTTTAATTTTCGTCTCGTGTCCTCGCCATCTTGTATGCAGATAATCACAGTGGAGGGGGGGGCAGAAAACACGTAACGTAACCTAGGCCAGAAGCAACGTCGTAACAACGTCGAGAGGGAAGAGGCGGCGGCGGTGCAATTAAGTTCAAGTTAAAGAGAAAGCAACGGCGTAATACGATTCACGTGTAATTGTTCCCGCGGTGAAATTGTGTAAATTGGACAGGGGCCATTGTGAAATGGCGCGCCACTGCAAAATATCGACCAGATGAATGGGGAATGAAATCGAGATTGACGGGAAATAACGTACTCGAATCGAATTTACGCGAATGGATTTACGTGAGAAGTTGTTTAAAAGGGTTTTCGAATGATCCAAGTAATCCCGTTATATTGTAAGATTAGATAACGGAAGGAAATAATTATTCGATTTATCAGATTTGAAGACAACATTAAACTGAATTTGAATTTATATTTGAATTGTTGTGAACGTGTGAACATTTTATTTGCCTCTCAAAAGGGGAAACATCCCTTTTCATAAGTATTCTCGAAATGAAAAAAATTTTATACGGATAATTAATCGAACATTTAATCCACGATATAATTTTCTTTTTCACATTTTTTAAATTATTAATATAGTTATATGGCTTTAAAGTAGCCAATCTCCAAATTGCTGAAAGATAAAATTATTATTTACAATCTTTTTAATCTCATTAATTTTTGATCAAAGTAATTTTCATTTTGACATTATCGAAATTTTTGGAAATTACATTTTGTATTTTTATTATCTCATATTTTGGATAATCTATTTATAAATAATCTTAGAAAATAAATTTCATTAATTATCTTATAAGTTCGCAAATATAATATCTAATAGCATAAAAAAAATTTAGGAATTTGAAAAGCAAATGTGCTAGATTTCCTAACCTTCGATTGATAAAAGCGCAGTATTGATTTGCGAATTTCTTTATTTCTTTATCAGGAAACATATATATATTATCTGTAAGAAATTATGCCACATATGTGCCACAAAATCATCTCGAGTTGAGGGTTAAACGATATTTAAAAGAAAATAAAATCTTCAATTTGAGATAAAACGTTCTCTAAAGATCTATTTCTTGCGAAAAATATCGTCGATCCAATATCCATTGACAAATTCTTTCAAATATTTCGATTACATAAGTTGGATGAACAAGTTTATTTTCCTGATTCAGAAAATTGGTGGATAGTGACAATGGCATAGGAAGAATGTTTAAGAGCACGAATTATCACTGTGCGAATCTGTGTCGACGTTTTTGCACGCGACGATTTCACTTTCGACTCATGCTATAGTGACCGTAACTCGAACAAATTGGCATTACGAGAATCGAGACTGTCAATCAACTCGATACAACTCGGCGGATGATCTCGGGATGGATCGAGAACTGATTTCTTTTTTTTTTTTTCCGTCGACACGAATTTCAATTCCTATTTCCGATAAAATAAATTCCTTCTTCTTCTTCTTCTTTCTCTTCTGACACTGACAAAGTATCGAAAATTAACGAGACGAGGGCGCGTGAAACGGAAAATTCATTAACAATTAGACTCGTTAATCTAAAATTAGGAAACTTAGCTTTCGTAATTGGAACGCATATAGCTCGTATAAAGTAGCAAATAATCGTTAAACGATTTATTACCGTGTACTTAACAACTTCCTTCCTCTTCTCGCATAAATTATTCGAAAGTGACGTTAGTTTGACACATAATACGTGTGCAAATACTTGGCTATTAATTATCGTGCGTTCCAAATAAATTTAATTCGATCATTTCGTTCATCGATTTGTTAATAGGAAGTGTATAATTCGAACGAATTTGATCAAGAATTGGCGCAAAGTTTTAATCGAAAAAATTTCACCTGGTTATAATTGTACCGGAGAAGATAAAATTTTTAACGAGTCACGTACAATTTTTTTTCCTTTTTTTAACGATAACATCATAAGAAGAAATTATTTATAGAAATTTACCTTTAATTATATCGAATAGATAAGAAATATAGATAAAGAAATACTTTCTTCTAAACAAGTATTTTTAATTTAATTTTAATTGCAGTAATTTCTTATTACTTTTGACAGTTATAAATTATAAGGACTGACAATAATTGAGAGGTAAATTATAATTACTCGAACTTGTCATGTGTGATGACATTTCCACGATTACACGTGCTTGGAAGAAAGTAATAAAGTAGAAAAATGGAACGACGAAACGTCGTAAATCTAAAAAAAAAAAAAAATATGAATAGTGAAAGTAGAATTGGAGAAATGAATGTTTCTGACGTTCTAGTCAACTGTAATATATGTAATAAAAATGTGGAATAAATGTTTCAAATTGTTATATCGCAAATTTAATTATAATTTAATTGATAAAACAGCTTCAGCCTCATTTTTTCTATTAAAACTATTTATTTTGGTCCTTACAATCAAAAAGGAAAACTTTACGAGAATGAAAATTGAGTAAGAACTTTTCATTTATTATTTATAATGTTATGGCAATCTCATTTCCATAATATTTCCTGAATTTCCACTATAGAAAAATATATAATTTTAAGTGTAATTCAATTCACACTGAATTTAAAATTTTTCTAGAATTTTCTTGGATTATGTACGTTCAAGAAAAAAAAAAAATTTTCGATCATCCAATCAGAATTTTCTTGAATTTTCCTGAATTTCCATTGTAATTGAATAATAATAGGCATAAAAATATATAATATTCAAGTGTGATTCAATTCACACTGAATTTAAAATTTTTTTAAAATTTTCTTAGATTATCTATTCTATATTTGAGAATTTCTAAAAAAAACAATTCTCGACTTTTGATCATCCAATTATTGAGAATTTTCCTGAATTATAATTGAATAATAATAAGTATAAAAATATATAATATTTAAATTCAATTGTAATTCAATTCAATTGAATTTAAAATTTTTCTAGAATTTTCTTAGATGATCTATGTTCAAGAAAAAAAAAAAAATTCTCGATTTTCGATCGTCCAATCAGAGAATTTTCCTGAATTTTCTTGGATTTCCATTATAATTGAATAATAATAGGTATAAAAGTATATAATATTTAAGTATAATTCACGCTGAATTTAAAATTTTTCTAAAATTTTTTTGGCATATCTATTCTATATTCGAGAATTCCTAAAAAAAAAAAAAAATTCTCGATTTTCGATCGTGCAATCAGAGAATTTTCCTGAATTTTCCTAGATTTCTACTGTAATTAAATAATAATAGGCATAAAAATATATAATATTCAAGTGTGATACCATTCACACTGAATTTAAAATTTTTCTAGAATTTTGTTAGATTATCTATTCTATATTCGAAAATTCCTAAAAAAAACAATTCTCGACTTTCGATCATCCAATTATTGAGAATTTTCCTGAATTATAATTGAATAATAATAGGTATAAAAATATATAATATTTAAGTATAATTCACGCTGAATTTAAAATTTTTCTAAAATTTTTTTAGGATATCTATTCTATATTCGAAAATTTCTAAAAAAAAAATTCTCGATTTTCGATCGTGCAGTCATAGAATTTTCCTGAATTTTCTTAGATTTCTACTGTAATTAAATAATAATAGGAACAAAAATATATAATATTTAAGTGTGAAACTTCGAGAACTTCGAAAATTCCTAAAAAAAAAAATTCTCGATTTTCGATCATCCAATCAGAGAATTTTCCTGAATTTTTCTGAATTTTCATTGTAATTGAATAATAATAGGCATAAAAATATATAATATTCAAGTGTGGTTCAATTCACATTGAATTTAAAATTTTTCTAAAATTTTCTTAGGATATCTATTCTATATTCGAAAATTTCTAAAAAAAAAATTCTCGATTTTCGATCGTGCAGTCATAGAATTTTCCTGAATTTTCTTAGATTTCTACTGTAATTAAATAATAATAGGAACAAAAATATATAATATTTAAGTGTGAAACTTCGAGAACTTCGAAAATTCCTAAAAAAAAAAATTCTCGATTTTCGATCATCCAATCAGAGAATTTTCCTGAATTTTTCTGAATTTTCATTGTAATTGAATAATAATAGGCATAAAAATATATAATATTCAAGTGTGGTTCAATTCAATTGAATTTAAAATTTTTCTAGAATTTTCTTAGGATATCTATTCTATATTCGAAAATTTCTAAAAAAAAAGTCTCGATTTTCGATCGTGCAGTCATAGAATTTTCCTGAATTTTCTTAGATTTCTACTGTAATTAAATAATAATAGGCACAAAAATATATAATAT